TTTGGCAAATCTTCTCATTGCAAGAGAAGATTGGGCTGCGGCAGAAGATCGAAATATTTTAAGTACGAGGCAGATGTGTTGGAATGAGTCCATTGACGATGGACTAAAATGGGAAAACGTCTATCTGGCCTATCTTATGAAGACAGACTGAGACACCTTAGCTTATTTCTGTTATCGTACCGTAGAATACGGGTTGGCCTAATATTGGCTTATCGCATACTGAAAGATGACAATACTATTATTATGTCCTAGTTTTCCTTCCGTCTGAGACTGATCATTTGAGAAGACATTCGTAGAAAGTTCAAAAGCCTGGATCAAATCGTCTATGTCTGGAGTTTCGTTTCTAGCAACGAATAGCGAATTACTGGAATTCTATGCCAGAACATGTAATATCAGCAACTTCCGTTGATATATTCAAAACGAGATTGGACCTCCACAGTGTTGCAAACTGAAAGGATTAATAATGGCTATAGACCTTGTAGCGTGGCGTCGAATTGAGATTAACTATGAACACCGCTACCAAGAAACATGTGCCAAATAAATCAGAAGGCGTAGGTTGAACGTAACCAAATAAATCCATAAAATCCCCGAGAAGCCAAATACCAGAAGGCAATTAATGGACCAAATCGAGATATATATTTGCTGGCTATCTCGTGGTATCGAAAGGATACCGAGATCGTGTCAGGATACAAGCTTGGTTACAGAACGTAACCGAATTCGCGCGAAGTCACAATCAAAGTGTAAGAATCAGAATGGAAGCACAATATAGCTGTCATTAGCACAGTCAAACAAAAGCGCATTAAAACAAGCACTGGTACAGTTGGTTATAATAATAATTGTTTTTATTAAACCAGTCGTGTTCTCGTGGTAAATGTGAGTCACTACAACCTCTTAACCTTATTACTGAAAACTGAAGTCACTCAAGGTTGTTGAAACGAAATAGCGGTTGATTCCATTCTAAGCTGACTCGTGTCAGTTTTGACTTCTGGTATGGAGTGTCAGGTGTTTTCTTTTAATATCACCTTTATGCTATTTCTGATTGTTATCATTTGATCTTTTTATTAAGGTCTTGTGCACTCTCTGTGGTTTCCGAGTCTTTGGTTTACTTTCCCTATGTTCTTTTCTCTTCCAGACTCAGCTTACAAGGTTCCTTTCGGCTACACATAAAATTACCAGACTCTAGACGTTCAAGTGAGTTGGTTTCGGATTAGTTTATATCTTGTTTCACATAAAATCAAAACTTAAGCGACAGGCAGTTGCTGTTCTGTCAGCAGTCCTTTCTAGGCTGACCACAATGAAAGTATAACATACAATGCTTATGGGTTTCCTGATATATTTCTGTAATAGGCTTATATTTGATCATCAGATTTCTACAAAGCACTTCAGTTTCTTCGAGGAGTCATTGGCCAACGCTCCAATCACTCAACGTCTGTAAATATACACGAAAATGCCTGGTTTTGTTCACTGATATCGATGCACTAACCATAAATGTCCCTTATAAAAACGTTCATATCAAAGACGCTTTCGACGACGACATCGTAGAGAGACAAGTCTTAAACAGCTGGCTACTTTTTGGCTATTTTTAGCTATACAGGGAACAGCTTTTATGATTAGATAGTTTATGCAAAAGAGTCATCCCAGAATGTCAGATTTTACATAATACTTGGTCTAGTAACGGATGACTCCTCGCCAACCGAGATGATGATTAGATACAAACTCGTGATGAATCTAGATTGCCTATATCCTTTAAACAGCCCAGATGAAGTCCCCACAATGTCCTTAGCTATTTCCACGATTAGGTGCTCAGGTTTTAGGTGAGACTATAATTTACGGCCGACTTTTGAGCGACACCGAATCGACCTTGAGTGTCCATTTAATAACTAGGACCAAATGAGGGTTATAAACCAGTGTGATGTTAGTAATTAGATCTAGGGTTTTCATCACAAACTAACATCAGCTATAATACCAAAACTCTGTCTTGTGAAGCGGATGAGTGAATTTCGCGCCAAAATCCGAAACCTTTTATCCACAAATTATCGTCTCGCCAAGAATTTCATGTGTTTAGGACCATCGTTTTTATCCTATGGTGGCGAGAAGCTATTTGTTGCTAAATAGATATTTAAATTTCACTTGGAGACTTAAAACTCGCTTCCTCTATTTTGAATTATTCGTTCCCAAAATATTTTTTGTCGACTTTTTATGGTTGAGTCCGGCCACTTCATTTTAATCTAAGAAAATTTCAACTGTTGGAAGCAATATGCTCTTTCAAACATACTGCTACATCGTAAATTGCCCTTAATCATAAAGTTTCTATGCAATACTTGTCAAAGATTTTATATTATGATGTTTTCAGTACAATCTAAAACACTTCAACCTCTCTATAAAGTGATCATTTTGCAAATGAGTAAAAATTACATCGAATAGGTAATTTCACTCTTGATACATAGTGAAAACAAATATATACGCGCTTACGAAAGATGATAGATAATGCTTCATCTACTATATAAAAAGTTATTTTGTGCTTAGTCTTCCCACAATTTTTTTTCCAGCTACAAAAAGCCGACTTCTCTTTAGTATCTCTTAAGAGGCATGAGGATGTTGACCTTCAAATGCTAGTCTGGGCAATTTCTATTTTACTGCGTTGCAGTTTCAAACCATGTATACCCTAACACCAAAAACCAAGGCGAATTTCTCGTAGTCCACCCTTTCCTCTTGAAATTGTTCTTACACTCGTATATGGATAGGATTAGTAACATTAACTCAGTTTATTTCTTAGGTTCATGACGGATTTTTTGAAAGCTTACAGATGGCTTATTTAAATATAAGTAAATATTAAACGAGAAAGCGCCGCTAGTGTTCAGTGTTGAGTTAGCTCAAAGCAAAACAGTTTTGATATGAGGAATTCAGTTAATTTTGCCGAACCAGCGTAAAACTTAGGGGGCAAAGTATTAATGTGACTATCTTTCCCTTAATCACCCTAGCATGATCGGTACCAGACAGGGTCCTTTTTCCTCTTAAAATACTTTCGTGTAGCTGTGCGTTTATAACTGCTCTCCAAAAAAGCTCTACTCTACGATCACCTGGTGTGAAAGTGTATACAAAATTGAGATGGACATAGCTGCCTGCCCCTTGAACTTGGTTTCTTAATGTAAAGTGGGATTGACAAATCTTGGTGCTAAAACACCAACTCAAACAAGTTTCAAGATTTAAAAGATGTTTGACCTGGGAACCAAACACAGTTATCGGCGGCGTTCGACCTCGTTAATTGTGAAGTTCTGTTGCAGTATCTGTGATTGAAAGGCGTATCAAAGAAGTACGTGAATGTTGTACAGGCTCCCCACTCGAATACGACTGATCGAGTCAGAGCTTATAGCGAACTGTCGCCGGAATAGGGTAATTCAAGTGGTTTCTTCAGGGTTGTTCGCTTTCACATTTGTATTTAACTGTCATAAATATGCTTTTAGCGATAACACTGCACCTAAATGCGGACCAACAGGCATCTGTCCCTGCACTTACTCTTGCGAGTGGGCCGTTAGAAGTAGTCGAAAAGTTCTTTTATCTAGTTAATCGTGCATGTTTTGGTTGTTAATGTCGACCAATGAGTGCGAACCAACCAGTAATATTTATTGTTAAACATCCACCTTCTTAGACTCAATCTTCGACTGGTTATGTTTATTTAACTACCAGTCACGAAATTACATCAACTCTTTGCATAAACTTGGTTAGCCCTCTTTTTGATTCACTTTATTATGCTTCTGCTACTATTCGGTGTGTGTTTATTGTCCATTTTGTAATTGACCGTACTATTCTGTTTTTGCGCTAATTGTAATAATTTACGTTTTAGAAACAGCTTATAATTGTTGTTTATAAATAGTTACTTGTATTTAACATTGACCTTGCTGGGGCTGTGCGCAACGGTATAGGAACTTATAAAATTCATTTGTGGGTATATTGAATCCTGAACTGGTTATCAATTTGCGTTTAGTGAAAACCAAAGTGCTATGTGCCAATCTGCGCCTTCTATGGTGCTGTCGTAATACTTGTCTGACTGTAAAAGGTAGGGTGAAAGCAGCCATGCTGTATGTTGGTAAATCATGTCCCCTCCGAGTTTACGATATTAGGTGTGTTAAGTCATCATTGTCTCTAAAGGATCGTTAAAATTCAGTGACAACGCCATATTATTAGTGCGGAAATTCGGCAATGTTTTTTTCGGAACAATGGTCATAATACGCTTGACGTCACTATTTTGAAACGCGGACTCCAGTGACTTCCACATCGTGCCTTATTTCCCTAGGTTGGGGCTTGTAGAAAGAGGTGGTCAGTTTAAGACATGGTACCGGGGTTCAAAAGAAACCTGTACAAGACTGATATCCGTCAGTTCATCAACACATAAATATTGGTACAAGGGGGCACCAGATATATGTGCGCCACACTATATTTGTGTGTGTGTGTGTGGGCTGTGATGCTTCCCGGGTGCCCAAACCGAAGCAGGTAGTTTTCTTAGGGGGCCACACCCCAAGCTTTTGGTCTAAAGGTCTAACCCACAAGGCGGTGGAGCATCGTGAGGAGATGCAGTCCCATGGTAGCCGGTGACCTAAATTTGGTTCATACGCCATTTGTTCCCTCAGGATACTGGAACCCATGTGCACCATTGATTTGGGATCCGGTTAAAGCGCCGGACATTCGCTTTTCGTCCTCTCAATTTCGTGAACAACACCCCCACCACGAGAAAGCAGTGAGTAGGACTTCCCTAGCAGAGGCTGTATACGCGTGGCCATGTGAAAGCATTTCAAGAGGGCGGACGGACCCACCCCACTCTCGGCCATATCAGGGCATTATTTTTCCTATTGTTGGTGTGTTAGCCCTAATTCACAATTAATGGAAATTTTAGGTGACTTTTTAAACAGTTTTATGAATAACATTAGCTTGCATTTATTCAGAAGTCGATTTTAAGTATTCATTACCAAATCAACTCTTATTATTGTAGATACTTTTGAACTATGAGTGCACAACTATTAGAAACTTCTTCAAAATCACGAAAACCTAGAAATTCTGCTTTTTTTCAACAAAAACTCCCGGCATGGCAACCAATGTTTACTGCTAAAAAATCTGGAATAGCTTTCACAGTTTTTGGAATTGTGCTGATACCTATTGGTATTATATTACTAACAGCATCAAATAATGTTGTGGAATATCTTGTGGACTATACAGATTGTACTCAGAATGGTACTGAAGAGTTATGCTCTGAAGTAATTGCCTTGGGGAAACCGTGTGTTTGTGTTAAACATATTTCTGTTGAATCGTCTATTCCTGGACCTGTTTATTTATATTATGGTTTAAACAACTTTTATCAAAATCATCGGCGATATGCACGATCTAAAAATGATGAACAGTTGCTTGGTATTTATCAAGACCCAAGTTCATTATCTTCGTGTAACCCATATGTATCAATTGAGGGTAAACCAATACTTCCATGTGGTGCAATCGCAAACAGTATATTTAATGACACATTTATTCTGACATATATACGGAATGATAATACCAAAGTTACTGTCACAACCACATCAAACGGTATAGCATGGCCTTCCGATGTTAATCGCAAATTCGGGACCTTGAATGCAAACGGTTAGTTAAAAAATATCTATTTTTTTCATATTCATAATCTTGAATTGGTCTACATTTCTAAACCGTAACTTATTACACTGATATGGTCGGTAAACTTATGTAGCTTTTCAGATTTAGGCCAGCTAGTTTCAAACTACCTCTGTATGAACTCACATAAATTGAGCTTAGATGAAATATGTAGGGTGGAAGTTAGTTGTGGATGAATCTTTTTCACATCTATCCATCTACTGATATTAGTTTTCCGTTATATGATGATCAGTTTGTGCAAAGTTTACTATCAAAACATCACTTCATTGAAATAAGCAGTAACCTAATTTAACAACCTCTTTTTAAAATGTAATGGTACTATGTAAAAATATTTACGTAAAAGACAAATCAAATCAAACTTCTGCTGCATTGCTATAATTACGTCCCGGGATTTGGTTAGGGTTCCGTAAGTAGATAGTCATCGTCACATAATTAAATAAAATATATCGACTACCAGGATACTTGTAATACCATACGTCTTATCCTCCCTTGAATCCTTGTGCTTTAGGCATCAAACAACTCATAAAACAGCTTTGAAATAAGTCTACTAATAAACAATTTCCAGAATTTATATAACCTGTATCATCATACTTCTCAAGCCAACTTACTTGAATATCCTTGATATAATATCCCAGATAAGATGTTAGGTTTAAATGAAAAGATTAGTGGTATAGACAGACCGACATCGTCATCATAGAGCCTGGCATAAATGTGCGTTTCCCCAATTTATCATACTATGTCATCACGACGGGATAAAAGTAACACACGAGATCATAATAATGTAGTAGTAAGGATAAAAAGAGATTCAGTCTGGGTTATATGGTTTGTAAAACCAGAATAGAAAGGTATATATGAATGTATAATGAGGTCGTGTAACATTTGAGACGATGCTCTTCGTATGCATTCTCTTCAGTCATCTGGAATTAACAACGACACATGAGGAAATATATACCGCGAAATTTCCAATAAAGTCAACATTAACAGGGATCCATAGTTCCCTTAAAAGTGATCAGGTTCAGTAATATTCATTCGTTTAAGTTTTCTCCATAAATCGAATTGAATTCTTCGTCACTTTCAAATGAAAAATTGGCTCGCACTCATATTGACCATGTTATGATATTTATTTTCTTACATTGAGAATTGTTGAATGACCTCAGTCAGTTTGATGATCTTTTGTTGAAATATCTGATATTTAATAATTTTGATTATTTATAGCTCTCAATAATACAGTTAAGCCACCTAATTGGCCTCAACCAATTCAAGCGAGATCTTCAAGTCCATTTAAGACTGATGAAGCTCTATTAGTATGGATGAGAATAGCTGCCTTGCCAAACTTTCGTAAATTAAGCGCTTTTGTAGTTCATAAAGATGATTTCTCCAATGGTCTACCCTCAGGAACGTATGAAATTGTTATTAACTACTGTGAGTATTTTGTTATCTTGTTTACTGAAATTCGCTCTCCATTGTATCTAATTCTCTTTAGACGAACTTCACGAATTGTATTTATTTATTTATTTTAACACATAGATATTGTTACAAAGGGGCACCGAATACATATCCGCCACACAAATCTCATTCGATATGTGTAAGGGCTGTGATACTGCCCGGGTGCCCAAACCGAAACAGGTGGTTTTCTTAGGGAGCCACACCCGGAGCCTTTGACCTGAAGGTCTGATCCACAAGGCAGTAGAGCATCGTGAGGAGATGCAGTCCCATGGTAGCCGGTGACCTAAATTTGGTTCATACGCCATTTGTTCCCTCAGGATACTGGAGCCCATGTACACCATTGGTTTGGAATGAGGGTTTTTCAACTCCCCTAAGTGTACTCTCTATGTCCACTTCACGAATCGACATGTTTATAGCTGGTAAAGACTAGATGTTTAACAATGGTTTCATCTTTTTTCGTAGGAGATATCAACTACTCTCCAGATATCAATAAAACTCATTTGCCTTCTACTTTTAAGACGATCAAAGTAATAAGTACACAACAATTAATGATTTAAATGTAGTTTGATTTACTGAGCAGTTTCAAATTATATCATAACAATTGTTCGGTGGTTTTGTTTTGATTTTAGCAAAGTATTATTTTCCGTACTTTATTTTTTTATTTATTTTATTTGAACACATAAATATTGGTACAAGAGAGCGCCAATATATATGCGCCACACAAAACAATGGGAATTCGAAGAGAAAAAAAAAACTAAGGAACGCAAAAGAAAAAGAGAGTAATGACGAAGAGGTACAATCAGAAGAAATCTTTCAGGTAAAGGAGACACAACCACTTTTTATGAAGAAAGTAAAAGAAGGTTACAGCAGGATCGCCACTGGCTTCTATTCTGAGCCATATCTGATAACGTCTCTAGCCACTGTGTAGCACCATCTCTCGGACCCCAGCCAGGGAGTCGTGAAGGACCAACACAAGCCAGTCCTTTGCAGCTTTCTTTCATGCCACGACACCATGTCATGCACTGACCACCTCTCCGCTTCTTCCAACCAGTCCCAGAGTCGGCAAATAATGCACGACGTGGAATTCTCTGGGACGACATTCGGAGAACATGTCCAAGCCACCGAAGTCGGTGTTTCAAGATGGTGACACCAATTGAGTTATCATCTCTGTGCCCGAACACACGATGCCGAACCTCTGCATTACTGACATGGTGTTGCCACTGAATGTCAGCAATCCTTCGGAGACAGCGATGATCGAACACAGAGAGTCGTCTAACGTCCTCAACTCGGAGAGGCCAGGTTTCACAAGCATAGAGCAAAACTGCTCTCACCGACGCGTTGTAGATCCGGCCTTTTACAGCCAGACTAACATCACGAAGGCGCCAAAGGTGGCCCAGATTGGCATAAGCCGCTCTGGCTTTCACTATTCGTGCATTGATCTCATCACTCACACCCCCACCAGCACTTATGCAGCTACCCAGATACACGAACTTCTCAACTACGTCTATCTGCTCACCATCCAGAGTGAGTACAGGATTAGAATCCTGCCAGTCTTGTAGAAGTACTTTGCACTTCGAAGGTGCAAAGCACATACCATACCTACGGACATTGATTGCCAACTGATTAAGTGCGGATTGCATGCCTTGGGCATTATCGCACAGTAAGACAATATCGTCCGCATACTCAAGGTCGAGAAGTCTTTCTCCAGGCAACAGATCCACACCACCATTACTTACATTCATCAGAGCTGTTTCCAGAATGTCATCGATGGCAAAGTTGAAGAGGAATGGTGAGATTGGGCAACCCTGCCTAACCCCACTGCTCGAATGGAACAATGGAGAGAGGTGGTTGTATGCCCTCACTCTGCCTGAGGTGTTTTTATACAGGGCTTTTAGGATGTTAATAAACTTCTCAGGCACACCCTTCTTCAATAGACAATCCCAGAGAACAGTCCTATCCAACGAATCGAAGGCAGCCCTGATGTCAAGAAACACTACGATTGTTGGCCTTTGATAAGTATGGCGGTGTTCTAACATTTGGCGGAGGGTGAAGATATGATCAATACATTCTCGACCAGAACGAAACCCAGCCTGCTCCTCGCGAGTCAATCTTTCTCGGGTTTTGAACAACCTACGAAGTATGACGGAAGCCAATAGCTTGGACGCAATCGGAAGTAAACTTATCCCCCGATAGTTGTTACAGGAACGACGTGAACCCTTTTTAAAGATAGGGACAACTATTGACTCATTCCATGACGTTGGTACACTCTCTAGTCCCCAAACCTTGGTAAACAACGTCGTCAATTCCTTAGTCAAAAAGTCACCACCATCTTTAAAAAGAGCCGGAGGTAAGTCATCTGGGCCAGGTGATTTGTAACGCTTCAAGAGTTGGAGTCCCTTGCGGACTTCCGCCTCATTTGGTGGATCAGTCGTCACCGGCCATAGAGGGCAGGACAGTCTGACCGATGTTGCCGGAGCAGCAGGCCAGTTGAACTGCCCTTCGAAAAATTCTGCCCATCGTCCAAGGCGTCGATGGATGTTAGTGATTGGCATCCCATCATCCTCGCAGATTGTTTCACTCACACCAGACTTCTTGCTGCCAGTGGCTCGGATGAGTTGGAAGAGCTTCCGGTAGTTACCAGATGCAGCTGCTGCTTCCAGCTCATTAGCACGCATCGACCACCAGGCTTCTCGGTCCTTACGCAAGCTTTGCCCGATTTCCTTACGTAAAATCCTTCGTTTATGGTCAAACTCACGGTTACCCGGAGTAGACCGACGGGCTTCAATGAGTTGTAAGGAACCAGAAGAAACCCAGTGCTTAAAAGCGGGACGTTTCGCAAACCCACAACTGACTGTTCCCGCCATTTTCATGGCGTCATGCAATTGCAACCAATGCTCATCTATACTTTTCGGTGGAGTGGTAGCTAGCCTAGAGGCTAGCTCGGTTCGATACTTACTTGCAACAGAAGTTGCAACCAGCTTGCTAACATCAATCCGTTGATGGCGTTCACTTCGTTGTCCACTGAAAAGTAAGGCAAGATTGGCGCAGACCAAGGCATGGTCAGAGTCCAGATAGGTACTCCAAAAGGAGCGGCAGTCTTGTACACAACCACGCCAGCGGTAGCTGATCGCGATGTGATCAATCTGAGTCCAGGCTTGAGATGCAGAGGGAGGACGCCAGGTGGCACATCGGCGATGACTGTGCCGAAAGTTAGTGCTAGCCAGAAACAGGTTGTGGTCTGCGCAAAGTTGCAGTAGACGGTCCCCGTTATCTGACCTGCGACCAACGAGTCCCCATCGGCCACCTAAACGACTCTCTTCTGTGCCTAGACGCCCGACCTGAGCATTCAAGTCTCCGGCTAGTACTACAATATCTGTCGAACGCACTTTCTGGAGAAGAACTGATAACTGGTGGTAAAACTCATCCTTGATTGCATCCGGGCTGCAATCTGTCGGGGCATAGGCGGAGATGACGAAAAGACATCGTTTCTCACGCCGATTTCTTCTCACTTTGATGGAACTTTCTAATCTAACAGCACATAACCGACTGTTAATGGGGATCCAATCGACTAGTGCTGCCTCAGCTCTAGCGCTTAGTGCGACACCAACGCCAGCAAAACCAGACGAAGATGCCACAGGGTCCCCGGATAAGCGCACGTAAAACAGGCTTTTCGAAGCGACAGATGGAGATCGAATTTGTAGTACTTCGCCAGAGTCTTGAATACGGGTCTCGGATAGACAACACACGTCGATATTAAGACTTTCCAAAGACATAGCCAGCCCTATCTGTTGTCCGACCTGCATAAATGTGCGAACGTTGAAGGCAGCCAGTTTGAATGATGCACGTGGTTTCAGAAAATCTGCTTCAGTCCTCGTATTCGGTGGTAACATACAATTTACAACCGGACAGTGACTCGAGAACGTTTAGATACAGTCGGAATTCCACCAAAGACGAGCCGCTGTATAAGTATAAAAGAAGGTGAATAATGTGGAAAATAATAATAATAATGATAATAATAACAATAATGACAATAATAGTAGTAATAATATTAGTATTAATAATGACAATAATTGTAGTGATCATAATTTGAATCAATTGATTGTTTTTCAAAGCGACAAAGGTAATTTCCATGGACATAGAGTTCATCATTTGTGTGTGGGCTGTGATACTGCCCGGGTGCCCAAACCGAAGCAGGTGGTTCTCTTAGGGGGCCACTCCCCGAGCCTTTGACCTAAAGGTCTAACCCACAAGGCAGTGGAGCATCGTAAGGAGATGCAGTCCCATGGTAGCCGGTGACCAACGATTGGTTCATACGCCATTCGTTCCCGCAGGATACTGGAGCCCATGTGCACCATTGGTTTGGAATCCGGTTAAAGCGCCGGACATTCGCTTTTCGTCCTCTCATTTTCGTAAACAACACCCCCGCCACGAGAAGGCAATGAGTAGGACTTCCCTGGCAGAGGCTATATACGCGTGGCCGTGTGAGAGTATTTCGAGAGGGAGAGCGGACTCTCCCCACTCTCGGCCGTACCAGGGCATTCAGGGGGCTTATGAATTAAACATCGGTCTAGAGAGATAGTAGTTGAGAAAGTCCTGGGACCATCGAGTAAGTAACACAGTTGTTAGGAAACGGGTTCTAGGTAAGGATGGCAAATCAATTGATGAAGTAGTGAAACTTCAGTTGAGATGGCTGGGACACGTGTTACGTATGCCCAACAACCGACTGCCTCGATGTGCGATGTTCAGTGGTATAGGAGTAGGTTGGAAGAAAGCTAGGGGCGGCCAGAACAAAACATGGCACAAGTCCAGGAAGTCACTGACAAGTGGACTGAGTCATGTTGGTAGGTGTAGACTACCTGGTTGGGGACCGCGAGACTATAGCAACCAATGGTTAGAAACCCTGAATGACATGGCTCAAAATCGTTTGCAATGGCGCAGGTGCATCCACTCTTTGTGTTCTCCCAAATTCTAATCCTCTGAATTCTTCATGTCCCTTTTTTCCTCTTTCCAAATTTTTTTCACTGGATTATACTCTTTAAATAACATCTTCAAACTCTAATCTTTCCGATTACTGCTTATACTCTTGCTACCTCTACCACTACAGGATTTGAATCGACAACTGCATCTCTGTGCCAATGTGGTGCAGCAACTCGAACTGATGTACGTACGTACGAAGTTCTACGTTGTTACTGACTGACTGAGTTGAGAAAGTATATTGTTGTTTCACCCAACTAACTTGCTTCTGTAGTTTTCATCACACTAGACGAGGCGTGTTTCGAACCTAGAACTTTTTGCCTGAAGGTCGATTTCCTAAACCACTATTTCACAGTTTCATTGAATAATTAACAATATTCAGTTCCCAATTTCATTGATCTGTATTGATTGGAATAAGTTTCAATCATGAGATTATTTAAAAGATTTGTAACTCAACGGGACGATTTTACTGAAATCACTTTCTCTGATCTAAATGGTTCTTTGCCTTTCCAGGAAGCATCGTTAAAAGCACAAACCTCAGACAGAAGCGAGGTATAGAAATTTCGTCATGAATGACTAGCATCTTCTTGGTTGGTTCGTTGTTGTTGATTCTTTTCATTGTCTGCATATTTATCTTGATCGTCTCACGCTTTGACCTGATCCTTGATCTTACAGATTTTTATAATTTCTCTAACTGTGCAGACTATGACAACAACCTGTTAGGTTCAACATTGATAGGTCAAGCTGCTAGTCATTTCTCACTTCTATCTGAAGTTTGTGCTTCTAACGATGTTGCCTAGAATTTAAAAAAAGCTTCACAATCAAACCACTTATTTCAGAGAAATAAAACTAAAGTTACCAGCACATGCAGAGCTTCGTTAACCATCAATAAAATCTTGACGCAAATTAAGGAAGTTTGATTACTGTTCCGTCCTTCTGTTAACACTATCCTCTTCTGTAGTTTCACAACATTCTATAGAAGAAGCTAAATAATGTCAGAAGTGGTACATTCGATTTATTATTCATATATGCGAGAAAACACTGTTCTATAACTGTAAGCTTGAAGTGTTAGACAGTGATTATACTTGAAGCATGTGGTATACGCTTACAAGTTACTAGTGTTCCCCTCTCTCCCTCCCTCCCTCTCTCTCTCTCTCTCTATATATATATATATATATATATATATATACTTTCTATCCTTTCAAAATATGTCCTCAATCACTTGTCAGTATCACTAAATGTGTGTTGACGATATAGCTGAGATTGTACAGCTTCAATACAATAAAGATACGAATTACTTTTAATGTTTAACATATATTTCTTAAGATTAATGCATAATACATATAGCCTTTCAAGTGTATGGGGTTTTCAGTCAGTCAGTTACAACGTAGGACAACCAAGTAGTCTGCATCCACCAACATGGGTTTTTATCTATATTTTAAGAAAGACAAACATCATAACCCAATATTACATTCCTGACCAGATTGTTGAGTGACGAATGATTCAGTGTTAACAAGTTAATGAGAAGAGTAGCTTATCTATTGACAATAGTAAGCAGTCATAACCACCTTTATTAATCCTAGACAAACAAATTGTATCAAACCTTATAGCTTTTGTGTTATCACTCAAAAAAACACTGGCTGAGACACGTGTTACGTATGCTAAACCACTGACTGCCCCGATGTGCGACGTCTCATGATTTAGGAGTAGGTTGGAAGAAAGCTAGGGGCGGCCAGAACAAAACATGGCGCAAGTCCAGGAAGTCACTGACAAGCGGACTAAGCCATGTTGGGAGGTGTAGACTATCTGGTTGGGATCCGCGAGACTATAGCAACCAATGGTTAGAGACCTTGAGTGACACATGGCTCAAAATCGTTTGCAATGGCGCAGGTGCATCTATTCTTTGTGTTCTCCCAAATTCTAATCTTCTGACTCCTTCATGTCCCTTTTTTTTCTCTTTCGAAATTTATTTCATTGGATTATACTCCTTGAATAACATCTTCAAACCCTAATGTTTCCGACTACTGCTTATACTCTTACTATCTCTATCACTATGGGATTTGAATCGACAACTGCATCTCTGTGCTAATGTGGTGTGGCAACTCGAACTGATGTACGTACGTACGAAGTTCTACGTTGTTACTGACTGACTGGCTTGTGTTATCACTTTGATTACTTACTTAACAATGTCATTCACATTGATATCCTCACTTTATTTTATTTTTTCATTTTCAGTTTATCCAGTTACTTCATTTGGTGGTAGAAAAACATTTATATTAGCCAATGCTAGTTGGTTAGGTGGAAAAAATCCAACACTTGGAATTATTTGTTTAATTACTGGTTCTATACATATATGCCTTGGTATAGCATTCCTTATTGTGCATTTTGTATATGGTAAACGGTAAGTAAATGATTTGTATAACTTTTTGTTGTTGTTGTTGGAACTGTATTATTGTTAGCAACAAATAAATCACCATGTCAGCTCTCTGTTACTACTAGAATGGTCTTTAAATTATCCGGGTTCTTTTTTAATACTTTTATTGATGACTAGTTGTTTGAATGTGTGAAAAGTACTCTAGTAACTTTTCTTTCAATTTATATCATCCTAGTGACCTCTATTGTTATCTATTCAGTCTCTTTCCTTTTTGTTTGGTTAATTTTGTTGTACTCTGTGATCATAGCTGTGACTATATGAATAGAGTTGTTCGATGACTATTTCAACTTCTTGAAATATCAGGTGTTTCTGGAGTACTTGACCTCTGTTGTATTGCATGGAGGATTATTGTTGAATTACTGCGAATTATATGTCTAGTTTGTATAATATACATGTAGATCCTGTTTCGTACAAAAAGAATCTCTTAATCGTTTGCAATTCGGAATTCTCTTAAGACATTATAGAGTAAGGGAGTTATACTGGAACAAATTAAATTGTTCTTCTATTGATATCTCAGTTTCCAATATATATATTATAGGGTTTTTTGAAGTTTGTTTTAATATGTAGGTAGTAATCGTCACAAATTGGCATCTTTTTAAGTGCCGTTGAAGACCACAGAGCACTGAGCGTTTGTTTTGTTTGTGCGCACGCAACCCTTCAAGGGATCGTACTGAAGACCTTCAGGATTTGTGACGAGCTCTTGGTCATCAGCACCTCCAGGGCAGAATTCAGTGGTACAGTTCTAACCCCAACCTATTCGTCATATAACACTGCGACCAGTTAATGCGATTGGGAACAGTTGTTTCCTGATAAATTGGCTGGGGTTCTACTTATACCGTATAAGGATGACTCTGACTATTGATCCTAGCTAATTATAAGGTTATCATACCTCCACTGTTCAGCATAAGTAATTTCGATACAACATAAATTCTGATTTCATACACCAATCAGTCTAATATTATTTACTTGTTTATTTAAACACATAAACATTAGGGGGCCACACCTTGAGCTTTCTACCTAAAGGTCTGATCCAGAAGGCAGTAGGACAACGTCAGGAGATGCAGTCTTATGGAAACCGATCACCAATGATTAGTTCATACGTCATTTGTTCCATCAGGATCATGGAGTCCATGTGCACCAATTGTTTGGAATGAGGGTTTTCCAACTCCTCCAGATAGCCTCTCCGTGTCCACGAACCCGGTTAAAGCTCCATCCTCTCAATTCCGTAAACAGCAGTAATGCCGCGAGAAGGCACTGAGTAAGGATTCCCTGGCAATAGTTGTATGCATGTGGCCATATGAGAACATTTCGAGAGGGAGAGCTGACCTTCCCTGTTATGATTTTATGTCAGGCTTTTATCACGTGATCTATCCACCAGTCGAAATACGACTTATACAAATCTTAGCACTATGCCAAACCAATGACGTTCGACCGGTATGAGCAGCCTAGCGTCCTTATTGGTCCTATGTCTGCCTAGCCCGTCCGCTTGACTCCAGAACACAATACCAGCTTCTGCAATATGAATCGGATCGAATCGTTTATTTCAGACATACTCGGCTTATATATCAACCAGACAGACCACAACGTACCATAAAATAGAAAATAACATTTGTACAATATTTGGCCAAATGTGGCTGTGAGCGTGGGAGGCAGTGGTCAATAAAATGAACATAGCTTAAGAAACGTAAATCGTACAATAATAAATTATAGGTCAAAATAAAGCTTATAATAAGAGGAATATAAATGTAATTACTAAATAATTATATAATAAGAATATTTATAAAATATTAGTCCATTAATAGTCCTCGAAAGTTACCCGTAATTTAATCTTCACTCGGATATAACACTCAACTCCCGACATATAGGGGCAGTCTAATACTGCATGTCATATAAAAAAAATATCGAGTATATTTTAACTTCGACATCCTTAGTACAACTAATTCATAAAACGAAGTGCTTATTGCGTTCTCGCTGCAGTGGTTTAGTTTACGAAATTGAGAGGACTAAAAGCTAATGTTCGGTGCTTTAACCGGGTCGGTGGACACGGAGAGTCCACCTAGGGGAGTTGGAAAACAATGATTCCAAACCACCGTTGCACATTGGTCTCCATGATCCTGATGGAACAAATGGTGTACGATTTAACCGTTGGTCAGTGGCTACTATGGTACTGCATCTCCTGACGTTGCTCCACTGCCTTATGGATTAAACCTTTACGTTGAAGGCTCCGAGTGTGACCCGCTAGGAAAACCACCTGCTTCAGTTTGGGCACCCGAGCAGTATCACAGCCTACACACAATTCAAGTAACTTGTGTGGCGCATATATATTCGGTGCCCATTTGTACCAATATTTATGTGTTCAAATAAATAACATACCGGAAACTCCTACTCTTTGTAACTGCTTTTTTAAGACGTAGCTTTTTCTACTGTGATTACCTACATATTTCACATTGTAACATTGTTAGAACATAATTACAATAAAACTTCCGGGCATATTAATTTCTCACTTATCCTAAGAGTAAGGTAAACATGTAATTGAATGATTAGTGTACATTTATCTATACCATTAATTATTTATTATTTATTTGAACACATGAATATTGGTACAAGAGAGCGCCAATATATATGCGCCACACAAAACAATGAGAATTCGAAGAGAAATATAAATAAATAAAAAAAACTAAGGAGCGCAAAAAGAAAAAGAGAACAATAACGAAGAGATTGGTGTAAGGTAGTGTGGTAGTAACGAGGGAACGGAAAGATACAATCAGAAGAAATTCTTCAGGTAAGGGAGACAACCACTTTTTATGAAGAAAGTAAAAGGTTACAGCAGGATCCCCACTGGCTTCTATTTTGAGCCATATCTGATAACGTCTCTAGCCACTGTGTAGCACCATCTCTCGGACCCCAGCCAGGGAGCCGTGAAGGACCGACAGAAGCCAGTCCTTTGCAGCTTTCTTTCATCTCACGACACCATGTCATGCACTGACTATACCATTAATATATCATATTCACTTTCATTACATAATATTTCAATTATATATAACTTATCTTTTATTCTATTATACTATAAATGATATACATATTATTTATAGTCCAATATTTCCTTCATCCGTTTGTTTAATTCGATGTGCAAATTAAGTAAGTAATAATTAATGAGATTATATTCCCCTATTACATCATTCTATTGTGTGATATCAACAACAACAACAACAACAGAATCATCACTTTCTATAATTGAATAAAGCTTTTTCGGGGGTGGGAAAGAGTGTAAACACTCTGATTTCCATCTTATTTTCTTCCCATCATCATTATCATTAAAAGTAATATGATTCATTATATTCAATCATTTCTTATTTATCCATTATGCATGTTACTTTGATTTATGATTTTAATATCTTAGACATCTTAATATGCATCACTTGGTCATCGTATTCCGTTTTAGATCTATTAAGGCTTAAGATTGATATGTATCATTCAATGGTTATTATATGTAGTACTTTTACTTACTTACTTACTTACTTACTTACTTACTTACTTACTTACTTACTTACTTACTTACTTACTTACTTACTTACTTACTTACTTACTTACTTACTTACTTACTTACTTACTTACTTACTTACTTACTTACTTACTTACTTACTTACTTACTTACTTACTTACTTACTTACTTACTTACTTACTTACTTACTTACTTACTTACTTACTTACTTACTTACTTACTTACTTACTTACTTACTTACTTACTTACTTACTTACTTACTTACTTACTTACTTACTTACTTACTTACTTACTTACTTACTTACTTACTTACTTACTTACTTACTTACTTACTTACTTACTTACTTACTTACTTACTTACTTACTTACTTACTTACTTACTTACTTACTTACTTACTTACTTACTTACTTACTTACTTACTTACTTACTTACTTACTTACTTACTTACTTACTTACTTACTTACTTACTTACTTACTTACTTACTTACTTACTTACTTACTTACTTACTTACTTACTTACTTACTTACTTACTTACTTACTTACTTACTTACTTACTTACTTACTTACTTACTTACTTACTTACTTACTTACTTACTTACTTACTTACTTACTTACTTACTTACTTACTTACTTACTTACTTACTTACTTACTTACTTACTTACTTACTTACTTACTTACTTACTTACTTACTTACTTACTTACTTACTTACTTACTTACTTACTTACTTACTTACTTACTTACTTACTTACTTACTTACTTACTTACTTACTTACTTACTTACTTACTTACTTACTTACTTACTTACTTACTTACTTACTTACTTACTTAATCTGTTTTATTTGTGCCTTCAGGATTAAAAGTTAAGCCATGCTTTGTGATGCTTTAGTAATTGTACTGATGAACATTCGTTATCTGAGTAGCACAAGATAGTTTTATTGATTATGTTAATCAACACCTTACAGAGATGGTAAAAATATAGTCGTTTACCAAATAATGAGTGATAGTTCTTCAAACCGTAGTAAAGAAATGTGGAGAAAACAGTGTAGCTTCTGTGATAAAATGGTATGTCAGTTCATGTTGACATCCAACTAACTATTGTAAATCCACAAGTGGAGAGCCAAAGAAACTAGTTACATTCACTGTAATATTCCTTGTAAAGAAGAGTTTGAAAAGTTAGTTGACAGGTGAAATAAATGAATGGAATATTAATTGATTAATGATGTACTATAATGCAGTCCGCCGATTGTTCACGTGTCCAAGTTATTGAAGAAAGCTTTTAAATGAACTGATATCAAAAAGACAACACAGCTCTAAACAAAATAGATTCGTTCTAGTGAAAATTAACATACCGTACATATAAAATATTTGGTAAATGAGAAAACGTGGTCAAATGTTATTTATTCAGTAAGGTTAATCACTCCTCAGTGTGCTGATGATCTAAATGTCAGGTCAAATGGTTAT